TATTTATATTATTATTCTCAACAGTAATAATAATAGTAAAGATAGGTTATGGACACTGTTGGGACGCGCCTATATAAAGTACTATAGATGTGTTTGGTAATCGTTTAACCAACGACCTCCTGTCGGGTTATAATAAATTATTCGTGTGTGTCTTTTTCCGTGATTGTTGTGCAATTTTCTCACGCACACCCTAAGTACATATAGTACAATTATTATTATTATCGTTATTGTTATTGTTATTTAAGTACTCGCTACCGTTTGTCTTGGATGACCGCATGTTCAAGCCCCAAGGTCGTTCGTCGGTAAGAAAATCTATGTTGTATTTAATCAAGCCGGTTTAAAAAGAAAGACATTATTTTAACATTATAATATTTAATGGGAAAAGGTCGGTGGTAAAAATGCTGCCAAGTACCCCTTTGGCCCTTTTGCTGCTATAATTTTCTAGGACACGAGTCCTGTCACACGACAGAGATAAGATATGTTGCCGTTTCCTGGTTAGATTAGGGTTATCTAGAATTTTGTTAACAGGCTAATATTGATGTTTTTTTATGTTTGTAAAAGTATGGGGGAAAAAAATACAGTTAAACGTTAACAGCTACACACTAACCGAGTCGTTGGAATGATTGAGTCATTTAAACGGAGCCGACGTTAAGGCATATTTTATTAATTGTATTACATATTTTTTTCCCCATTAACTACAACGTCAATCACAGCAAAATAGTTAACACTCTGGAGGCTTGTTGGTTTTAAGAAATCAAATAACGATAATAATTCTCGTGTGCGAGACAGTCATTGTACAAAAATGAATGAACGATTAATAATTGTTTTTCGCCGAAAAAAATCATGTTAAAGGGTTTTTAAACGATTAGGTTTTTTCAATGTTAAGCAAATACAACTTGTAAGGTATTAAATGTATAATACTATACTAGAGTAATGTGCACCGGTGTGACAAAAAAAGATTATGCATTTCGGCAAAAAACTTTAACAATATTTACCAATTTTAACCTAACCAAACCTTTACCATTTAATATTTTTTGTTATTGAATAGTACAAAACAATTATTAAATCCTTTTTTTCTAAACAGAATAATCGACAGTTTTCATAGTTTTGATCATAAGTCTTTAATTTTTAACATGTCTTGTATAATAATTGTTAGTTTTTTTTTATTCAAAAGTAATAACATACTTATATTTTGACCTTTCTTGACTATATTACAAAGACAGGAAATAATGTTTGGTACACATGAAAATTAACTAAATTAATAAAAATTCATTAAATTTTTATTTTTATATGATAACTTTTTATGGTGTTTTATTAAACTAACCGTAGTTGCTTTTCAAGGATTTCTTACAATATATATATATATATATATATATATAATATAAATCGCAAGTTGTTTAAAAGTAGGTAAATGTAATTGTTTAGTATTACTTGATTTAAACAGCATATATATTTCAGAATAATACATTTATATAAACATATTATTATCTATTAGGGACGGGATTTTCAAAAACAAAATTTGCAACAAAAAAATGAAATATGTTATTATTTTTAAGTCTTAAAAAGAGATGTGTTCAAAACATTACTGAAAGAAAAAATTGATAAAATTTGAAAAGGTAATAACCAAATTTTTACAATAATTATCAAATAATGATAAGAATTGACTACTTAAAGTATTTTTTTTTTTTGTTATGAAAAATCAAACGCTATGTTTTTTTATTGGAAAGTAACCCTTTGAATTTAAGAATTTCTTTTCGATCAAATAATATCATAGTAATTTAAATATTTCTTACTCCTGACTATATACATAAGCAATGCTGCCCTTATCTGCGTGACGTCTCAGGAATTTGTGCTAAGAACTATTAGGAGATTTGGTAGCTGCGTTAAATATCTCGGAAACCAATAACGTGTGTTGTTACAAAACCGAAGGTAGTTCTGAATAATTCTCCATCGAACATAATCGCATCATAATAGCGCCTGTAGTAAAAAAAATACAAACCGTACTGGTTCCAAGTTAATTACACATGTAGTGTTGTAATTAATATATTAAGGACACGTCGGTACAGCAAACAACAAACGGCTGTTATTGATGAAGTTTCGAGACGAGGATAAAACTAATCTCGTTTTATTTTATTTTATTTTTTTTTTTTACCTAACATTTCGAAATTTAGAGTCCCCTTAGCTGTTCATCGACACGCGAGATTGATGTGTGTATAATGATATGACTCTGATTGATGTTTTGCTCATGCTACCGTGTGCTGTTGATTATCATAATGATTCCGTTGGTAAAAGTATTCTGGTTGAAATACTAATGATGGCCTATAGATAGTCATAATATTGAAAATATCATCGTAATAGGCACCTCCTTATATCGTCATGACGTTAAGACATGCCCGGTGTACTGTATTTGGGACACGTGTGCGTCGCATATAATTATCACACTCCAGACGAGACCACCATATAATAGTAACGTACGCTACTTGAATGATAATGATCATATTCTTTCACCGTTGTAACCGTTGCGAAAAGTAGAAAATGTGTTGTACGTAAGCAGGTTGACCCTTGAAAATATTATCCTCGACGAAGCTGCCGGGAAATTGACCAAACACATTCAATAGGTACCACCTGCAGAAAATTGGATACAGGTGAATCAAGGTGTAGATTGTCGGAGAGGCTAATCTCAGAGAGAAGATATCCCAGTGAAAAGAGATATAAATTCGTAAAAATACCTGGTGATGATCTGGCAATGTCCAGAGAGGAGCAAAAATTCTGTATTGAAGGTTATAAATATAAACACACAAATGTATGAATTTTGGGTAAGATTTAGAGTGTCAATTGTAGATATGATCAAAACTACTTTTGACCATCCCAATTTATATTATTTAAAATTAACTTAGGAGGCCTTTTGAGCCAGTATGCATTTTTTTTACTCGGTCCATCTCTGCCTAGGAACTAAGGTTTATGTACAGACTAGTTGTAGATAATGGCCAGTACAAGAGACTAAAATAAGCAACGATTGGCATTGGGCGGTGTCACTTAACTCCGGATGGAACTTGGTATCTTCTTTGGTTCGATTTTTTTAAAATTAAAACACAAATGAAACGATCTCTTTCAGGTATATTATATTATATACTTGTTTTATTACAAATCATGTACACCCATTTAAATAATAATTATCGGTTGCGCGTCCGAGTGAAAGTGGTTTCCGAACTTGTTAAAAAACGATTTTAATTGAACCATTATGTTCCCACGTCTGTTATACTCGGTTACAAAACATAGTTATCGCTTTGGACTTTTTGTACGACAGGAAACATTACGGCACCGGCTCGTTTATCCAAATAAGTAAATTCCACTCTCTTTATCTCTCGCGGTGGTCGTTGGACCGTGTCAATTTATTTCAACCGCAGGAAATACAATTTTATTCGGAAAGGATGCTTGAAATTCAAATAGAAATGTGTCACGCTGACCACCAGCTCTCTTCCCATTCGTTTATATTAGATTTCAACAGTTGTTTAAAATGTATTAGAGCATGAAGTCACACAACAGAGTGTTCTCGAGGGACGTTTTGTGTTATAATATAAAATCAAAGACAATTTCAATTATTCGTGTGGTCTTGCATTTTTATTTATCTATTGAGTTATAGTTAACTTTCTGTTGAATCAGCCAAACTACATCTATTTTTTGTTTTTTCACATTAATATTTTGCTACTTGGGTAGCGTATAACAACGTGACCACCTTGCCTGACACAAGAAAGTGTATAATTTAATATGGGTTATATTACTATATTAAGCGTACGGTGCAAGCACAGTTGGCAGCAGCCCCAGTATACGTTGACGATGATTGTGTGGGTATGCATTGCATTTGTCGATCCACGGTAATCTAATTAGAGCAGCTCGGACCCTCAAGTTAATCGGTCACACTATAATTGAATGGTGTACATCTGGTCGTCGTACCCATTGACCTCTTAAATATTATACCCTATATTTAGTCTCGGACTAATCCAAATCGCCTACTAAAACGGAGCTGTGTACCAATCCAGTGCATTTGAAAACAGTTAAATGGGACCATTTGATTATATGAAACGCGCATTAAACTTTATCAAGAGCTATACGTTGCACAATGTGCACACACGACCTAATGAAATATAAATTACAAATAATAAAAAAAAATACAAATTTGAACTGAACATAGAAGAATCAATCTTTGCCTCGAAGGAAACAGTCACAGGACAACACTTAAATAGGACATTTTCTAACTGGGAATATGTATATATATTTAAAGTCGAAATTCATAAATTCACTTATTTAAAAAAATATTATGCATGTTAAAAATACTATTTCCAATTTCCAACTCATTGATGATGCATAGAAAATTAACCACCGTTGTGTTCAAGTTGTACATCGGTGGATTAGTTGTTGGCAGCCAATTAGGGTTTCAAACTAAAGTGTTTGCTAGTGTGACTAATTTTTTTCACATTTTATTATCCGTTTATAAAATGTTCAAAGTCGTTGTTGTCATAAAGTAATATCATCGTCTCTTCTAAGATGGCGTTTGAGTTTAAAATTTAACTGCAACATAATATTAGCTACACTGTAAGACAAATTTAAACGTTTGCTGCTCGGATGACTATTAAAAAAAATATATTGAATAACACAAAATGAATAAATGGCGATGAGATAACATTCCAGTCGTTCGGTCCGTACGCACAACCTCAAGGCGTCCTTCGAACGACCGTCTCCCATCGCAGAAATAAAAATTAATACATCGGTTATGGCCTACCTATTAAATCTAATAATTTGGTCCAAAACTACAAAAACAACAGCAACCGTCCATTTATGTTATATTATCAATAATTATAATAATCGCCGAATAAAAGTAATATCTGTTGCATTACAATCTGAGTCAGAGTGGAATTGCCTAATAACCATAATTACACATTTTAATCTATATCTGTGTCATAGTGTTTTGTATATAACTTTATAAAATTATTGTGTTTCAGAATCAAATACTGGATCGTGTGAAATGCGACCACGTGACGGTTACAAAACCAGAAGAAGACAGACGAAGGAGAACGATAATTGTCGAAAAAAATAATGGCAGTTATGGTTTCATGCTCCAGGTAAAAAAAAACCACCCCATTGCTGTACCCTTTAACTAGTTAAAGTTTTACTCTTTCAGACAAAAAAAAAAAAAAATAATAATAACTATCAAAACCCTGACGTAATGAGTTTAACTCATTACTATAAGTACTTGGAAAATTGCATCTTGAAAATGTTAACAAATTAACCTAAAGATAGTCCAAAAAAACACTAAAATTCTGGCGTTAAAAAAATACCTATTATAATATTATAATACCTATTGTCGAGGAAATTTAACGACAACAGTAATAAAAAAATATAGAGAATGGAATTGAGATGGTTAGATTGATATTAGGCAAATTATATATTAAAAATCAAAATTAATAATAACTACCAAATCATTGCATATTTTGATAAATTGTTTATACGAATCAAATATAAAAAGCCGTTTTCACTGAAAAGTATTTAAAACGAAACAAAGTTAAAAGTGTAACATAACTATAACTATTATACTCGGTACTTAAATATTTTTATTGTTGTAGGTTAGGTTAGGCTTAACTTGTTTTTTAAAAATATTTTTAATTGATTTACAAGGTATACTTTGATACTCTGGGATTTTCTCGGATTGATAAATTATTATTAATACTATTTTAGAGTTATGGTATTCACTATAAAAAAGAACAGGAAATCGAAATGATCACCTATGTGGATCACGTTGACTACGACGGACCGGCGTACAGAGCCGGCATGAGAGAAGGTACATAATATGCACAGTTAGTTGTAGCAGGGATTGAAGTTGGTCATTTTTTATTTAAACTTTGTGATTAAAAAGCCTTAGGACGGTTAAAAAAAAAATCCAATCATGATAACGTTCAAAAACGATCAACGGGGCTAATTTAACCGTGGTTACTTCGTTGTAACTTGATCAAATGCGCCCTAAATTGCTTACTTACTCGACTATACTTCCATCTCTGTATAATAGCATACAGTTGTGTGCGTGTATAGAATAGGACTTGGCGTTATGCTTTTATTATGTTATGTTGGGTTTGATGTTGCGCACAGGAGACGTGATCCTGTCGATAAACGGCGTCGACATGGAAAAGGCTGACCACAAGACTCTGGTGGGTTTCATCAAAAGCTGTGATGCCAGGATGCGAATGGTTGTCCTGTTCGAAGACTGTGTCCGCAAGGTATATGCATGTTTAATCACAGTTGTGCATCCTAATTATAATAGAGCGTTGTGCGAACAATTCTCTAGACAACGCCAATTGTTGGCGCAATTAGAGGTGGGCTTCTCTGAAGTTCAAATCCTTCCAAAATCGTCCAGGCTCCAAAAGAATATGTCAGCAACCAATTGCTTTACACTCCAAACTACATAGGGTCTGCCACCCTAATCCTACACCTACATAGAGCTTCTACATCTCGTTCATATCACTCTCTATTCCGTCCATCCATCTTTCCTTAGGTTTTCTTCCTCTTTTTCCTTCTATATTCATAACAACTCTCACTGTCCTCGCTTATCTCTCTTCATAACATAACCGAACCATCTCAACCTATTCTCTCTTATTTTCCCCACAATTGATGCAACTCCTAGACATCCCCTTATGTATTCGTTTCTTTTTTTATCCACTCACGCATCTTGGCATTCTCATCTCCGCTACACTCATCCTCTATTCAGTTTTCTTGTCTACTGTCCAACATTCCGACCCATATAGCATTTCTGGCCTCACTACCATCTTAAATGCATCCTCCTGTCACACAAAGCTCCCCTCCACTTTATCCATCCTTCTGAGGGAGCTTTCAGAGTTTTAAAAGGTCAAAAGTTCCCTCTAAGTGCGCCAACGATTCATATAATATTTCTCCTCGAAGAGCAGGAATTTGCTTTTTACTTTGGCGGTGCTTAGTACCTAACATTTTATTTTTTCACCACACAGGTGGACCTGCACATGAGGTACATCCAACTGCAGCGGACGCTCCAGGCCAAAGTGGAAGAGTTGGAAAAAGTAGAGATCAAAGAGAGAGAGTTGATGGAAGGCAAGTGGAAAACGCACAGTTTGCCGGCCAGGAAAAAATCCAACCATTCTTCCAAAACCAACGCCGCCGAGCGTAAAAACGTATTGACTGAAAACGGTAAGGACTCGATATCTTACACCCTATTACATTTAATTTATTAAATCAGCCATGGAATCAAAAAAAAATGTATTTTTTTTATATTTATATATAATTTTAAGCGATAATCTAATCGAACTTTAAAAAAAATATATAATACCCTTTTTGATTTTTTTTTTTTTTGTTAACCGATTGTTTTTAATTTTTATATGTTTTCTTTCTCGTGATGATTATCATCAATAAATCGTCGTCTCAAACAAACTATTTTTATTCGTCTATACATTTGTAAAAAAAAAAAAATATATATATACACTAACAAAATATATGCCGTTGTATTTATTTTTTTATGCGGTGGAATTATTTATTATGCACATGTAGGTGATAGTCCCATGTCCAGGCCTACGCTATCGACCGAAGACGTGGCCAAACCTCAACCGATTTATGTACCAAAACAAAATTTTATGTTAGCTTATCGGCCCCAACATTTTGTCGACCAGCACGGACGTTCCTATTATCTACATCAGCCAGCCACTGCCATTATCAACGGCGACTCGAATTATGTGGGTTGGCACAGGTAATCCTCAACTAATATGTTGTGTTGTAAAAAAAAACTATAACGAGTAGTCAATGAACGAAACCACGACGAGGCGATGCCACAAATAGAACCGTATAATAGTATATATATATATTTATAAGTCTGTAGATGGATATTCTTAGTGGATTGTCTTAGGTTGCATTTACTTGGACAGGCAAAAACCTCAAAGTCTAACGGAAAAGCTGAAAAGCCAACCTGAGACACTTGCATAGATTTAAAAGGAGAATCCTCGTTGTCCTCCTCTCAATCACACCAAAGTAAACTCCCTTCTACCGTCGAGATTGTTTTCAAACCCTCCGTCCTCTCTCATCCTAACTTCTGGTGATGACAAATTTTATAGCCACCGGTTGTCGGAAATTTATTTTTGAAACCTTTTCATAATACAAAGAAACCTTTTTCGCAGTTTGACAGTATTCCATAAGATGCCTAAAAGTGTAAAAGAATTACTAAAAAATTTAAAAAATCTCAGAATTGACGTTGGATAATTTTGATATAATTATCTCGTATTGAACAGCAATCGTCCGGCGTCCAACAACAACAATTTTGAACATCACGAAAATTGGAACGTGTCGGACCAACCGGTGCAGAGGAGACGTTCGCACTACGTGGTCGAGGTGAGCCGAAGGTGCAGCACATCTTCTTCGGACGTGCCCAATCGTTCACAACAACAGCAATACAACGAAGGTTCCAAACAAAACTTTCCCAACAGGGCTTCTCAGCGTTCTTCATCTCAAGGTGAGAATATGATCAAAATTTTAAACCTGCTTCTGAATAGCTTTGCTACACACGCTAAATCACTAATTCATTTTTAACTTAGTCGAGTCATCGGGGCTTCTACTATTATAGCATTTGGCCATTTGGCTTTTGGTCGGGTAAAATAAACATTAACATTGACTTGACTCTTTTGTCTTCTTGTCTCACACACAAGTAAGGTCGGCTGATTGTTTATTTTTCCATCTTTGACTTTTTCAAAATTGCTGTTGATTCACAAATTCCTTACATTATTCGTGTCTCTCTTTAATCTCCGTTTACGACCTCTTCGCCCTAATAGCAATGTAAAGTTCCCAAGTATGTCCTTATTGGCTTACTACACTATAACGGGTACTTCTCAGTGCTATTAAGGATGTTGGTCCACGCCTTTCGATCAAAAGCTCCTTGCACGAATAAAGGATAACCAATAGCCACAGAAAAGCGTTACACAACGGATCATGCCTTCCTTATCCTCGCACACTCCATGGAATATCTCTTCAATATCCTTGCTGTATCTTTAAAAACTTCATAACCGTAGTATTTGCAGCCTATTCGATCTAAAAAAAAAGGGGCTCTTTGCACGAAGTAGGAATTCCAACCCTTGTGTGCGATTCTCGACCTCTGCTCTGGGTTGCTTTTGCTGTGCTTTTCGGTGCATTTGTCGTTTTCTCCTATCTTGTGTGCTTTCTCCGGTATATAGGCGACACATGCCCGCGATGGGGTTGCATACGTGGTTCGTCCAGTGACAAACGACGGGAACACCAGCAGCAGCAGCAGGAACAACAAGGACAAGACGACGTCAGCTTGGAGGCTTACGACTTGGCTGGCGGGACGTGTTGCCCGGGATCGCAGTGCGTTCCCACCAGGAGACACCACAGGCGCAGGCGCAAGTCGACCCACGGTCGCGACAAGAGTCCAGGCAAGCTCACACTGTCTTGCTGTTGGTCACGCTTGTCGTTAAGACGTCTGATCCGTTTCCTCTTCATTGTGGTGCCCATCCACTTTTAAAGACTGCTAGTTTTACAATAATTTACATTTATCATATTATTATATAGTTTACCCGTTTAAATGACATCGTCTGCATCTTCTATTCTCTTCTCCTCGGTGCATGTTTATTTCGATCATTAGCAGCCTGGTCGGTCCAAAGTCATTAGTAGCTTAGTGCATGGTGGAGGATGGATCGTTATCATTGCAGGTGGTGGCTTATACAATCATGTAGCGTGCACGCTTAAATAGCATCATCGTTTATCATCATCGTGTGTCCGATGGTCAAAGGCTAATAAACCAAGGGTGTAGTTAGTGGGCTTGGACTTTTTGAATCCGGACGATTTCACATGGATTCACCTACATGGCGAACCACGAATCGCTGAAATCTCATATAGTATGGGCAATATATTGTGTTATAGTCAAAGGCTCGGCTCAGTTCTGCAAAGCTGTGTCGCGACCGAAGAAAGAAAGTGGACGTTTGAAATAAATGAGTGAGTTAGGTAATAAAAATGTATAACTAAAAAAAAAACCTTGTTTTTATTAACTCCACGTTTGTGCCTAAACAAAACAAAAACATATATCTAATTTAATCTCGTCCCTATACTAACATATTACTATATCTAGCTCGTCCGCATGTCATAGAGGCGAAATTAGAAACGGGTAATCTGAGATAACGGATCTACGCAAAACAAGATCATTGATCATCTCATATTTAATTGATGAAATTAACGGTCGGGCAAAAAAAAAAATTACATAATTTAAATTGATTCGCATCGATGCTAAACATGTTTATTGTAACTGTTATCAGCGCTTGAAACGTTCATTTCAAAAGTTATTTTGACTGAACAGGAATTCTTATAAGTTTCGTTTACATTTAAAGACCTACCGATTGTGACCTCCTCTTACTTGGGTTTGGTAGAAGAAACTGTTAAGGTAGGACAGGTTTGGTTAGATTTAGTTAGGTTTAGTTAGGGCAAGTTCAGTTTAGTGAGGTTAGGTTAATGAACAATTTAGGCATTTGGGTTTTAAGTAGGTTTAGATTTAAATGTGTATTGAGTTTGGTAGATCAGTAGAGGGGAAGCAGAGTGCATAACCAATGCCCTTCTTAATTTTACAAAATAAGGACAAAGATAGATAAAATGAAAACCTCAAGCTCGTCTCCAAATCCATCCCAATGCCAATCCCTTTACAAAGTACGAGTCCGCGACCACGCGAGACATTTTATCTCTTATCTCTCTTATCTTATCGGATAAATCATCAGAAATTTCGTTAGGTAAAAAACTGTCGATTTTTCCTGTTGCGTGCCAAAGTAAAGTCAAAAAATGTCAACAAAAAAAACGTCAAGGACCAATTTGAATTATACAAATATGTAAGGTTAGAGGTTAAGTAAAGTCAAAAAATGTCAACAAAAAAAACGTCAAGGACCAATTTGAATTATGCAAATATGTAAGGTTAGAGGTTAAGTTGTCAGAAAAAGATCTGCTATCGAGTGTGGGTAGCCTGTAGTTGTTACGCCTGGAAAAGAAAACAAAAAGCGGTTGGCAACCGTGTTAAATGACAAAACAAACCGTCGAGTTATTTTTAGATTTTTTTTTTTCGTTTTGCCGACCAGCCCATTGTCGTTGGCATGGAAACAAGGCTGTTCAACTCTCAAACAATGTGTAATATATGGTATAACAGTGCTCGTGTGTCTGCTGCGTTGTTATTATTGGCATTTGGCAAACGAAGCGGTCGAGTAGGAGGTGGTGTGCCTTTTGTTATTTTTGCACAAGTGTCGATGACACCTCTTTAGACAAACGATTTTTTTTTTTCTAAATAAATATGTCGCACAACAATAACGACGGCAATTATAGCTAAAAGGTCGACCGGTAAAATGAAAAAAAGGCGACAATAGTATGTAAAAAGAAAATAATTTGTAAATTGAGTGTATGAAAATAATTACAAAAGACACAATACAAAAAACAAGTTGTCGCCAAACCTGAGCGTTATTTAAAATAAAAATAAAAAAATTGAAATCTAAATAAATAAAAAATAATATCGTTTTGAATGGACTAAAATATTTCAACTAGAATACAATATTTTTTTATTTAAATACTAATTGCGGGTAATAATTCGTTAAAAATTATTATTTAAATTTAAAAAAACAAACAAATAAACGTTTATATTTTATCCATTTTCAAAAATGAAATTGAAACAAAAAAATAATTAGTTATTAATACGCGTGCAATAACCGAAAACTACTAATTCCAATGGGTTTTTCCATTATGCCCAATAGAAAAACCTCATTTGGCAAACGCATATTATATGGAAAAACCCACATCGGTGGTGTATCATCAATGGGGTGTTCGTTTGTTGTGTGTCGTTAAAGAAAAATGTAAACACTGCTTTGAAACGTACTAAAAAAAAAGGTAGAAAGTTGTACTTTTCTTTTGTCTTTGTTGTGTATTTTTATTGCTTGCTTTGGTTGTTTTTTGTTTTCTTTGTATTTGTATATGTCGTTTTGGTCAATAGCAAATTTGGAATGTTTTTTTTTTACCAATCGCTTAAATGGCGATATCTAAAAGATAGACTTTATATCATAATTTTTCGTTAACCTTCAAAATCGGATACATTTTTTTAACGTTTAAATTAAAAATGGTCAATTGTTTTTTTTACCTTAGAAAATAGTAATCGCTATTAAAAAAAAACCCTGTAAATATGAACATAAACATACATTTTTATAAATAATTATAATAATATATTTCATAGATTACTGTATCTGTTTTTATTTATAGTTTTTTTTTATCTCACTATTTTCTTTCCTAGTCGGGGTAAATACATTGGTCGAGCCCTTGTATATATATACATTTATAATATTTGCATGTGTTAAATAATAACCGCATTTTTTCTAAATTGTACTTGTAAAACGCAAATTTGATTATTTTTGTTGTATTTTTCTCAAAAAAAACAGAATGCAAGTCCGAGAGTTCGTACTGTCGAAAAGGCCACGAGAAGCGTCGACACTCGTCGGCCCGCAACCACGACGAACCGTCTTCCAGGCACGCGCATCGCGGCGACGGCTACGCCACGCTAGTCGACAATTACTCACGGTACGCGTCCGACGAGCGCGTCTGTTCCAGGCACCAGCTGCTGCACGGCAGCGTCACCGACAACAGCCCGGCGTCGTACACCACGTCGCTGAGCACGGACACGCTGTACTGGGACGACGACCCGCTGCAGCAGCCGTCGGCGGCCAACTCGCGACAGCACTCGGTCAAGTCGCAGTCGTCGTCGGCGTACAGGCGCGAGCGTTGCGGCGGCGCGGTCAAGCCTGTCAAGTCGTGGGACAACCTGACCACCAAATCGTTCGGCGGCTACGGGTTCGGTTACGATTACCTGGACCGCGATCAGATGCACCAGCAACAACAGCACACGGTGTACATGCAGCTGAAGAACGTCGTCAAGCCGGCGGCGGGCGGTTACGACAAGAACAACGGCGGCCATCACCATCACCAACACGACGGTGGTGATCGTCATCGTCAACATCAACATCACCACCACCACAACAACCGTTGTCAACAGCACGGCCGGCACGCGGTCACGGCCAAGTCGACCGAAGCGCTGTTGACGCTGCCGCCGCAATACCCGACGGCCACGGCGGCCAGTTGCGAATTCTTGGACGCCTGCGACGCGTACGACGACGACGACGACGACTACCGCAACGACAAGGCCAGTCAGACGGACTGCCGCAGACACCGCGTCAACAACGCCGCGGCCGCGCATCAACAACAGTCCGAAGTCACCAGATTGTAAAACACAAAATGGGAATCTCAAAACGGCTATGTTTTTTTTTTTTAAATTTTACTTTACTTGTAGGCATAAAAAAGTTAAAAAATCAGAGCAACAAAAGTGTGTTATACAATGTGATATAACGATTGATGTTATTATTATTTTTTATTTATTTATATCTGTACAAGCGCTAATATTTATAATATGTTCGGTACGCCAAGTCCAGGGATGTTTATCTCTAGTCATTATTCATTTTTATCTCTTTTTATTATTATTACCACGTTGTATAATTATTGACGGGCACAAACGATTCATATTATTTAGATGGAATCGATTGCTCGCGGATCGTTTTGCGCACAGACGGAAGTGTGAAGCAAGTGTTTTTTTGTTCTTTGTCAAATTCCGAATTACAAGCAAAAACAAAAACTAAATATTTTAGTCGAGTTGTAAGCGGTTACCGCGAAGTAACCACGCGCGGTATGACGCGGTTACCACGTGGTATGAAGCCGTTTTGCTTTCCGCCTCTGTTCACAAAAGGATCCGCCGAGCAAAATATAAAGAACGTTCCACCGAAAATCCGTTTGGGCCCGACACCAAAGATAAAAGATTTATGCCATTGAAAATATGAACTCTATTCGTTTATCCTATAAACCGTTAAACGTTTGTAAGTCATTATTATTATTATTGTAACCATTTAAAAAAAAAAATATTAATGATTTTTTTTTATATATTCTCGCACTTATCGAGTTTTGGATTTATTAAAAGTTTTTCAACGAATAAAAAACATTTAATTGAACGACTATTGTTTGTGTTGTAATTGTGACAGGTCGAGTTTCGATCATTTTGTTAATTATTATTTATCGACAGAGTGCGCTAAACGTTTTTATATTACTCGAAACAATAAACAAATGATAGTTTCTAGTATAATAATAATAATAATAAATTATGCGTGTCGAATTTGGTAAAAGTACAATACAATAATATTGTTTTCTTCAGTTTACATTAGCAACAGCTGCCATGAAAGACGTTGTTGGCTACTGTTGGTGTTAATTAAGCTACTTATGTAAACGGTGCGTGTAAATTATTCAGTTATTACATTTTGACAACGTTTAAATTATATAATAATATAACTTTGTAATATTCTTCCACGATGGCTATTGGTCTCCTTTCTGTTCGTTGGATTCCTCATTGGAATCCATGTAGTTTTGAAGCATTTCTTTAGCCTGCATAAAAAAACAAATCAAACACAACATAAATAATAGTTACACCTCTAGTGCCAAAGAATCCGCCGTCAATATAAAACTTTTTGGAGTCTGCAATTTAAAGAAATCTGTTATAAATGATTTTTCTTACCATAGAAGAATGTTTCATAATGCACAACACCATCGGATAACCGGCATTGCAATGAGTGTTGACTTCTGTAAGAACAAAACAAAAACTAATTTAAGTAGGTTAAGTTAGGTATAATTTTGTGTCATTAATATTTTGTCTTTGTTTTATAATTTCACAACGAAAACAATTTGTTGATATCATCTTTTTTGTACAATAATTTCGCTTACCGTCTTTGACGCACTCTTCTATTTTTTTGGCCTCGTCCTTAAGTGCTCCGCTTTCGAGCAGGTCAGTCAACGTTTTGAACCTTTCCAGATCCCACTTGCCAGTTTCCGCGTTCATCTAAAAAAAAAAAAATGTAAAACAAAACGATATTGTAATTATTATCTATTCACATTGGTATACCCAACACTTACCGTTCCCATTTTTTTGCCAACGCACGGACCAAGACACTGTGGGGATGAAAAAAAAACAAACAATTATACTATCACATACACACACAATCATCATATAACCTTGTAAATCAGATGAATAGCTATGGCTAAAAAAAAAATAATATTTTCTGTGCTACACGGCATAAATCGCTGGTTCATGAATGTGTTTTTACCATTGCTTCCCTCCTACCCTTAGGGATCAATGATAAGACGCAACTGATAGGGCCAATCTGTTATCATTAATTTTTAGATCGGCCCCCGGGTTAAAACCATATCCATATGCAGATTTATATATATATATATATAATAAACTAGATTGCCAAGGGTGCATGCCGCCAACAGAGAGATAATTAAAGTTAGGTAGGTACCATTTTCTGCCATCTTTGTGAGAATAAGAACGTTATCACGTGTTAAATATGTTTATAACAATTATAAGCTAAGCGTTGATAGCATAGAATTACAGATTATATATATATATAATAAGATGTTATTTTATACACACAAAAATGGCGGACGTCGACTTCCATTCTTATCATAATTTACTATGATAGTATATCTATGTTAAGAGACAGCTGATAAGGGCTGATCTCTTATCACTAATCCCTTATCGGACGTGACCGATTTCGTGACGCAAAATTTGGATCAGCTCGAAAAACATATCCCTTTTGAAAAATTTCATGTTACAGTAATTTTTTCTACAAAATTGTTTTAGCTAAAAAAGTTACGGGATATATAACCCTTAATATATTTAACGATAAAAAATTATGTTTAATGTATTAAAGTTTAAAATAACATTATTTTAAAGGATATAGTAATAATGGGTGGCGTTTAAAGGTCATGCGACGACCTTTGTACATTAGGTTTACACCCGTTAAAAACATAATGATGCTATTTAAAATAATGACAGATCGATAACCAGTTTTGGATAAAATACTTCTAGAATTATTAGAGTTTTTAGGTACACCGTATATGACTCAGATGTGATGTTATTTGTCGCCTAAACTTTAAAAAGTATTCTTTTAGTAGCTTATAAATATTATGTACGGTTGTTATTTGACTTTTAACAATTATAATCTTTTAAAACTAGGCACCCTCTTTCTTCTTAAGTCGTTAAAACATAATTAAATAAACCACTAAGAAAACTAGAAGGGTATCTATTTTTTTTTAAACAAATGAATCTTCATAGTCTATTAACCTTGAAAATTATCCATTTCCCCTTGTTACCACCCCACCCCACCCCTATCTCTTCCACACTAATTACTACCTATTGAAGTATTTATTCAAAACAATTTTTTAACGACCAGTCATTAGGTATTATTCTTATTTGTATTATTACCTTGCAGCCATCGAACTTCTTATCGTCTTTATCTGTGTTCTTGTTTAACATTTCTTTGCACACGTCTGTAATTAATTATGTTTTAATATTATAATACTACTAATATATTATATACTTTGACTAAAATAATATTATATTATAATATGAGGCGTCAATTTTCATTATCAGCTGTAAACAATTTATGACATTTATGACAAAAAAAAACGTATGAAATATTTTGATTTTAGCTTTGAAATCTATTAAAATGATATGTAAAATTGTAATGTATAAAAAAATGTATTACAGTTATAGAAAAATTGTATTGTGTTCCAGTTGGTTTTGTTACCAAAATACCAATTGTTATCAGTAGCTGGTTGGATGACTTATATTTTTACAGTCTGGCCACTTAGGAAAAATAAATATTTTTGTAAAATCTGCATTTTTAGCTGTTTTTGAAAAATGGACGGCAATCCGTGAGCTTTTAATATCTATTGTTTAAAACCTTTTGAAAAACTTGGAATGCTTACAAGGAAAAAATAATGATTACAATAAAATCTTCCTACGCTTACCGGGATTTATTTGCAATTCGCTTAAACATGTAAACATATAGTTTATCGAAGCGTCCATCACTTGGCTTTGGTTGTAGTAAGTATCATAGGCGTTTACCTGAAGAAATATAAACCACAGCAAAAAAATTACAAATATATTCAGAACATATTTTTATAACGCACTTTTTAGGGTAAAAAAAAAATAAAAAATCCAGATCGGATTTCTTCAGTCTAGCAAATCGGAAATCTTACACTTAGTATGAACCTTAGTAAGTACCCTATTTTTCCCTTGATAATGGCAAAAAAAAAACCACACTAAAAAATGTACATGTTGATTTCTAAATAAATTTAATATGGCAAATATGGTGATATTTTTTTTCAATACTTTTTACATGTAAAACGATCGACACACAATTTTTGTTTGTTTTTTTTTCGCTTTTTGGGAATACCATAATATAATATATAACATTTGTGTTGTAATAATAAAAAATATAAATTTAGAAGGCTGTGATGAAACCAACTGGGTCGTTGAAAATACAATTTCAAAAATAGACAAAAAATGTGTTCTGTTGCTTTAACTTTTATTTATTTGCCACGAATTTCTTTAAAACTATTAAAATAAATATTAATTTTAATTAAAATTAACATAATATATCACTTAACTTTGGGTAAATCGTCACACAATAGTTATTATATTGTTTAAAAGTGTTTTAACAAAATTATATTAAAAAATATACAATCGAGGCATGGGATACTAAAAACGTTAAAACTTCTAATTAGTTCCTTTCAAAATACCTACATTTATTTTTTAGTGAGAGATTTGTTGAAATAAAAATAAATGTAGCACTAATTTTAGTGTTTTTATAATCCCAAGTCCTTCCCCCCTGATCACCAGCAATAGTTTTATACTGAGTGAAAAAATAAAAAAAAATATTTTAACTGAGAAATTACTTGAGCTCCTTATTTTTAATATGTTATCAATTATCATGTGTTCAGATATTTTATCTAAATTTTTGAGAAAAATATACTGACTTTTTTTTAAATCATATTTAATGCAGACTTTTATAGACAATAGACAATAGAAGAAAAAAATAACACTAATAAAGTATCCCCAAAACTATCTTAAAGAATGTTCTATAAAATAATTATTATTAATTATTACATTTTTATCAAGTACCTATGTGTGGCGGCCTTTTAATAAAAATCTGTTGGTGACATATTTAGTTTTTACATTGAGTAAAGAAAAATACCGCAACTACAAAGTCTCTTCACAGCCCAACAATGAATATTTTCCAAAATAAAATTAACTATTTCAAATAAAACATTTTTTTTTAAATTTATAAAACTTACAGATAGAACGGAACAGCCCACGAAGCACGATAATAAGAGTATTGACAACATGACGTTAATTAGGTTAAAAGATGAAAAAAAATTAAAACAAAAAGAATTTGAAACAAATATTAAATACTCACACACTAAAAAAACACTGGCATACTACTATAGCATAACCCGCTATTTTCCTATGTTTATATACTTTCATGGAAAATTGGCAGGATGAAACAACATTTGCCTATACTTCCAATAAAGATGGTATCATCAACGTTATGTCCGTCGTTTCTAACACAATACAATATTATTATGTCCACTTCCTGTGTGGCAAAAAAAAAAATAACAACACACACTATCTATAATAATTGTTACTTTGAATTGGCATTGCCGTTTTGATGGTATCACAATTTTTTGTGGAGTTTAGTACATGAAAAAACAAAACAATACATATATATTGACAAGCTCAAGGCGTCACGTGATACTTCTGGAATTAATGTCCGGTTTCGTTGAGTTGATTAAGAAAAACAAATGAAGCTTTTTGGAAAAAATTGTTTGATCACAAGGAGGTTGATACACTGATTACACTGTTTCCATATAAAAATAAGAAAACCGTTTACTGCAATAAAATTATACTAAAGTATTGCCCATGTTAAAGTAGTTGCATGCGGTCTGTTTTTAAGGCGTTTTGTATAGGCAATATTTAAGAAAAAAGGGAATTTTATCAAATTAACCTTATAAATAAGCTTCGAGGTATTATTTTTAATTTAAATAATTTTTTCTATGGGTAAAAGCCATTTTGGTTTATTTCAGACAAAAAAGCCAAACAACATTTCGACTATATAATATAAGATGGTCCAATTTCAATTGTGTAAAGAGATTCGAGTTCTTTGGCTACTTTACTGTGTTATGTTGGAAGCCGATTTTCATTTAAACATTTCAATTTCTTGTGTTTAAATTAATTAAATTTGCAATTTTTTCAAATTTAAAATCCAACTTTTTTACATTAAAAAAAAAACCGAACCCATTTTTCAACTTACAATTGAAAAATGACATATTTTTTTTATTAAAAATCAAAATCCTGTCCTTATATCTGTAGACAACAACAAAAACCTAGGTAGACCAGTCTAGCTGTACCAGGGCTGGCAGTTGGCTAGAATTGATGGGATTTTTTAAATTTTTATTAGAAAAACTATTACATTTGTTTTGTTTGATGTCTTTTTGAAATAAAAAATCTGTTTAAATAAATTCACACAATCCCATCGGTACAAACGTTACAAACGTTTTGACCTTTGAACATAAAAAAGTCCTTGGTTAGCGATTATTCAAAAAGATAATAATGAATAATAAAAAACACACCAAACGCAATGCCAATTTTTGCACGACATATTTAGATCGAATCCTAAACGACAAACACATCAACGGTAACATTATAAAGGTACATTAAAAATAAAAAAAATTTTAATATGCATAATTGTACAAATTTAAACTTGATATCACCAACTGTAGTCTGTACAATCAAATCATATACTTTTAAATTACATAAACTACAAGTCAAACAATATACCAGTGTACTAAAAAACATGCCCTTGTAAAAAAAAAAATAATGCAGACCTTCAGTTTTTAGTTAGCTGAATCTAAATTGTTGTTTTTTATTTATTTTTTAGTTCAATATTTTCAGGGTTATATTTAACTGTGTTCGTTTCAATACATAACTTTGAAAGTGTTGGGTTTTTACAAATCACACTGGAAGTATGTTGTTTTAGGTAGGATACCTTCAGTGATGCAAATAGAGACGGAAGGGGGGGGGGTGTAATTTTAATAGGCAAAATGAGATTTAACAAAAAACACAATTAATTAACACATCCAGTTGACTATGTATTTTAGCCCTATACTGTCACTCACACTTTTCAAGGACAGGAAAAGAATAACCTAACTAAAGTTATTAACTAGTCCAAGTACCTAAATTAAAATATACTTGTTCAATTCCAAAAGATATCAAGTCAACAGAATAAAAATACAAAGCGAACAACTTTTAATTAATGACATGGAAAAGATTTAGTTTACAAGTCTTGTTTTAAATAATTTTACTTCGTTGAAGGGTTGAACTATTAATAACTGGTCTTTCATTTTAATTGAAATTTTTTATTCCAATTATACGAAAATTAAAAAACTTGAACGTAGAAACCAAAAACAATATTGTAACATAGCCATTTAAGAGGAGAAGAACCTCAGAGAATATATTTAAAAATTTTAATTTAAAAAAATGTAAACCGGATCAGTGGTTCTCGATAGGGATGCAAGTAATAATTATTTCAAGAAAATATTTCTAAAAATATCCAAGTTGTAGTTTTCCCCAACATGTATAATAAAAAAATAAATATTGATTTTTTCACTACATCAAAAATAGAATAAATTAAATATCCGATAGGAAGTCGCTAAAATACCACATTACCTACGGTTTACTCATTTTTACCCGCAGGCAACAAAGAAATCGTCGTTATTATTCATCAAGTGCTTCCTGGTGAATGTAATAATATAAGACATGGGGGGAGGGGGATTTATGGGAAGGGTTCCCCAAAGATTTTGCCTTATAGTTGAAAATGCCTAATTCGGTCAGATTAGGTGGGGGGCAAACAGATGAACAAATAGTTAAATGAGCGAAGACAAAACCTTCGGTAATATTTAATTTGTAAGATGATTATATAACATTAAAAATTATACAACAATAAATATCAAACAGATACAACAGTCATTTTACAATGGTTTTTCGTTTTTTTTGTATATTTTGTTTGTTTGTACATTGTTAAACTTACACAAGAGTAAAAAAAAAAAAAGCCTGAGTACACGACAAGTAGTATTATGATAATAGTAATTTTATTAAAAAATACTCATAATTTCGTTTAACAAAACATGTACGTGTAAAAAACGTACTTAATAATTATCAAATTAAAAATACTAAATAAAACACATCGTAAAGTATATTATGCACACAAATTATTTACACGGTTACAATATTATTATATTATATAAGAAACGCAGAACTTCCGTTGTAATATATATAAAACCAATAACAAAAAAAAAAAAAAATAATAATTATAACATTGATTACAGGTGATAACATTCAACTTAAAAAAAAAAAAAAAAAACTAGTACGAGTAAAATAAATAATGATTACTTATCACTTACAAATATATTTATATTTATTATATATATAAAATAAAGCTTTTATACACTACACATAAGAAAAGTTAGAATATAATATTATTATTATTATTATTATTGTAGAAACATAAAAATCGTATTTACTAAATACTATTATTAAAAATAAATGTACAATCAGAAAATATATTCGTTACCAAGAGAAAGCGAACCCAAATACATAATACATAATAATATATATATATATATATATATATATATATATATAGATACAGAATACACATGTTTTAAATGAGTGCACAAGACAGACGGTTCTGCTCGCGTTTAAATAATAATAATATTAATAATTATAATAATCATAGTAATAATAATAATAATGACTAAATAGGTTTATCAGTCCGCTAAGAACCATTTGCGTTATGGCTACTGCGTTAACATGGTTAAATTATTGGTAAATACGAGCCGTGGTATGGTACAAAGCGTAGTAAAAATGATGTTCGGTGGCTGCGATTGCGCACGATCGAGCAGAGTAGTTTTAAGTTATGTACAATAGTCAGTGGAAGAAAGTTAACGCGTTCATTGTTACACACTCGAACAAATATAAATTACTTTTTTTTTTTTACCAAGTCGAGTGTATTTTTGTATAATATTATGTATTATTATCTGTAATAATATGTCATTTGCTACTTAACAACTATATCGACACAAACAAACAAACAAAAAACTAATAAGCTAATTTTATAAGGTAATTTCATACTATACAAACAAACAAAAAAAAGTATACGAGCTTTATATTATTATTATAATGATTAATTATTATATTATGTAGTTTATGAATGTTGAGATCAATATGACCATAATCGATTAGGAAACATTACCACTAAAAAACCTTAACTTATTATTATTTTTTTTTTACACGTAAAAAGGGCGTTTAGAATTCATTGATCGAGCTTTGCGGTCGAGTAGTACGATAATTCTAAACGCGCTGTACATATAATTCATTTTAAAAAAAAGGGATATTTATGTTAGGTTATTTGTTATTATTATTTTACCGAAAACAAAGTTAACGAAATTGCATCTATATAATAAAAACGGGTATAATATCTTAGACGATAACAAAATGAGCGTATGGCTAATAGCGACAACGGCGAATATACATAAAGTTATAACTTGTTTACAAGAATAGGCAGAATACATTAAAGTTATTAATTCTGCAAATCAGTCTTCTCGGTAGTATCGACAACTTGTTTTGTTTTCCAACCTGAAATCATACACACAATAGTTATTAACATTTATTTTAGAATAATATTCATAATATACCGAATAAACTCGTTTCAGTACGAACGTCAACACGTTCATTTCGATTTGTATAGTATTTAATTTCATAAAAAGCAATATATATATATATATATAAATATTAAAAAAATGTTTCACTACTACTTTTTTTTTCAAATTTAAGAATTAACTTGTGTTTTCGCAGTATACGTAACATATGATTTTGAGAATAGTTTTCACTTCAGTTCAAGATGAGACCGAGCAAAACCCTAAACACATTTAACGGTACCGACGTTACGGACATCTGATAAGAAATTATGTGTTTTCAATTTTGGACATTAAAAATGAATATATTATATAAATATATATTTAGTTTGTATATTTGTTCAATGGCCCGTCATTGATAAATGTTGTCGAATAATTGTGTGATTACCTGCGGCTCACGTATGTGCTTATGTCCGTAGTGATGTTAATGGAAGAATTCCATGTGTTCTCTATGATTATTCCTTTGGTCTGTCTTTTGGTGACCGAATAAGATTTCACTATAGAATTTTCCTGTTCCACAAACACGCGACTGATTTGTTGAATCGTAACTGAAAAATAAAATACTCGTCAGACAAGCGTATCCTTATTGAGGATATTTTAATATAAATACTAACCTTCGGTTTTGTCGATTGTCGACATGGTAACACGAGCTGCAAATTTTCTCTTCATGTATCTCCGGCCTTTAAATATAGTCAAATACTCCGTTTTTTTGGCGCTGGTTGGCGATTCGTTTAAACTAAATTTGGGTATCATTCGCTTGTCTAATAAAAAAACAAATACAATTCGGAATTAGTATAGTTCATAAATTGTAAACAATAAACATTGACAAGATGATTACAAAGATTTAAAAAAGCTGGAAATCAACAAAAATCATAAATATTAATTAAAATATTTCCATCGACAATTGGCCGAAAACGACGAAACGCGTCGCTCTTGGCTATCGCTTTTCAGGAAATAAGTCTATTACATACAATACAATACAATATATGAAAAAAATAGATTGACAGAATAGGTTAAGAAAAAGAGAGAATAAATGAAAAATTGAAAAACTTAGCAAGAAGACATACTGTAATAGTAAAGATACATAAACAAACAAAAACATGCTTTTCAATAAGTAAACAAATGTTTAAAAAAAAAAAAAAAGAATTGTCAAACACTGCGTTGGTAATACACATAAAGCTTGTACACAATTTTTCTTATTTTTTTTAGATGTAATTAAATAAAAAAATTTCCTTTTCTAACTTATATTGTGCAGATGTGCAAAAACCATTTTTTTTTTTGTAAATTAACAACTCCGCCGAACGTAACAACAAGGCAACGGTCGTAAACTGACAACCTACGTTTCGCAAATCCCACGGGTTAGAAAATCAACAATGCAATTTTTTGATTGGAATCCTATTCATGGGACAAGTACAGAAATTATCACACAGACTCTGCTCAAATAGAATTCATAGCTACATTATCAAAACCAAAGAAATTGGATTTTTGACATTTTCTACGTGGTGGCAAATTTGAATAAAACATAATTCGTTCGGATAACTAGAAGAATGCAAGCAGCACACACACATCAACAAGACATCATTACTTTAGTAATCGATGTAAAAACAAAATATATATATTTATATATACAACAACGGATACGAGCGTAATTCTCTAAATGGAAATCCCACAAATGATAATCTAGCGATGGAACAAATAATAATAACGGCAAATAATTTATAATAAAAAAAAAAAAAAAAAAAAAGAGATCAATATTCTTACCTAAGATCTTAGGGTAAAGATGATTTGATAGATGCAATTTCGTCAAATAAATTTAATACAAATTTAGTTTAAGTTATAAAAAGAAGGTTAAGTTAATTAATTATTTTTTTTTTTTAATCGAATGATTATTTTTTTTTTTTAATTGATAAATATTATTTATTTAAATAAATAACGTGTAAGAAAATCAAATATTGAGTTATGAAAATTACTTTCGAAAAACCGATTGGATACAGAGTTAAATAATTTATAATCTAGTAATATTATAATACTTGGAAATTGGTAAATCAATTTTTGTTTTTTTTGTTTTTTTTACAGGAAATACTTAAAACAGTACTTACGTATAGATAATATTAGTTTTAATTTTACCGATAGAATAACAAATCAATCAAATCAAAAACTCCACAGATAGAATTAAATAGGTAATCGCGTTGTCCGGCACCGTAGATCTTCAACAGTAAATGTTCACAGCGTAATTTTAAAATCAACTTATTTCGTTCAGCCAGTGTTATTAAGTTCAAAAATAACTTTTATGCAAACTCGGTGTTCAAGAAGAAAGTCTTACAAATTAAACAAAATAAAATAATGATCCGTTTAATTTTTTTTCCAACGGAGCTAATAAACGAATACTACGTTGATGTTGTTGAATTATTGAAAAACTGTTTTCGGAATATTATTAAGAGTTTGTTTTTTAATTTAAAGTAAAAAGGAAGAAAAAATGAGCAATCTTAAATTATCACAGTTTGTTAAAAATATTAAATTAAATCACAGAATGTTGTAAAAAAAACATTTCTCAGTTAATTTGATGATATATATATATTAATCGTTTAAGCTCGGAATGTAGAAAAAAAAAAGAAAATTAATTTAATAAAAAACATTTGACTATACACAAGAGAAGAACCAAAAAAAAAAAAAAAGACGTTCGATTAAGACAGACCGGAAGCGGCAACGACGACGTTACGGGAACGCTTTGCTTTTTTTTTCTTATCCTTCTTTTTGTCCTGATGTTTTTTCTTTTTCTTTCTTCGACTTATGTGAACAGTTTCCGCCGCCGTTTGCTGATCGTTTGGCGGTTCAGTTGTTGTTGTCGACAACTGTTGTTTTACATGGGCGGCGGTGTTAGATATTATTTCACCGTTAGCGGCTGGGTCCGCGTGCAACGCATCACCGCTGGTGTTGTATCTGTGACGGTTCGAGATCATCATCAAGTTGTGAGCGGCGTTCACGGCTTCTAAACTGTCGTCCAACAAAGCGTGCTCGGGGACAGCCGTGGCGATGGTTTCCACCAGCGACGGTATGCTACAGTCGGACAACGATGGCGAGTTGGGCACTGCGTTAATAACAGACAGATTGGGCGAACCGAACGGCACGGAATTGTCCGACGGTACGTTTACAGGCGACCCCCCGTAATACGAGGGATTTCGATGAACTTGAGCGTTAGGAACTTGGAGGGGATGTGTGGTCGCGTGGCAAGAGAACTCCGGCGCGTCAGAAGAGTAAGAAGAACAATGACTGCGGTGGTGGTGGTGGTGGTGGTTTTTGGTTTTACCTTTCAACAGTGTAAACGACGACGACGACGACGATTCGGTCGTCACCAGTCGGTGTGATGTGTTTTTCACGTGGTGGTGGTGGTGATGGTGTGATGATGACTGATGTGTGGTGTCTACAGGGGAATGGCGATGCTGTGGCGGCGGGACGTTATCCGACAGACCCTCCACGAATTTCGTGTGTGATGTATGATGGGTTATGTTGTTCTCGATAATGTATTTTAACGGCGGGTAGGAGGACGACGGGCTGTGTGCTCTTTCCGCGAAATACATTTGCGCCGCGTCGTTTGGCGAACGCTGCATTTCGAAAGCGCGAGACGCACTCGTCGGTCGATAAGAGGCAGTAGGAGGCGGCGACCTTTCCTCCAACGCGTGGTAGTCGTAGCGCGTCGTACTCGGCACCGCTGCTGCTGCTACGTTGCAGTCGACCGCCGCTTGATAAGAAGTCGGCGGCGGCGGCGGCAAAGGTTTCACGACGTACTGATAAGACGACGACGACGACTCTTGTTTTCTCGGCACCGAGTGTCTGCGTATGTAATTGAGTATTTCTTTACAGCGATACGGCAGAGCGGAATCGTTGACCGGATGGCTCTGGCACTTCCTCTGCAGACATTCCGCCGTCATTTCCGTCCCGGCTTCGGAAAACATAGTAAACGCGTATTGGAAATTCTTAACGCACTTGTTCATGTCGTCGATCATTTCGGAAACGGGCCGATCCGTGACGGTCCGGTTGAAACGGTTTACCAAACATTTCTTCCACCTGAACGGCTCGCTCTTTTTCATGTTCACGTAGTTCAACAGTATGTTCTGGTTGAAGTTTATTTTGTACTCCATTTCGCCGCAGATCTCGCACAGACACCGTTTGTCCAGCCGCACCAGTTCGGGTATGTTCAGCCAGTCCTTCGGGTCCGATTGCAACAAATGGTTGTACTTGAATTGGATTTGGAAACGGATGAAATCGAACTGCACCGTGAACTCGTGCCTGAGTTTCTCGCCCACCTCTTGGGTTATGGGATAATGACAACCGTTCGTGCAATATGGGTACATACAAAGATATAACTTACCGCGTTCGTACAAGTACAACATCCCTTCGTATGGACTAGGAGCGTTGGTGCCGCCTTTAGGAGGCGCCTTTGCACCAGTTGCGTCCGCCGTTTGATTTTCACTCGACGCGTGGCCGTCGTTGGCGGCGGGCGGATGATCGCGACGATTCTTAGGGGAACTCAAGTCTAGACTCCCGTCGGCTTGCACTCTGGCCGGCCGTTTATCGTCCACGGGATCGACCGCAGACGACGATTGAGTAACGGCGGCGGCGGCGGCGATCGAGTTCTCAGCCGACGACATGACATTAGGAACGTCTTGAAACTGCTGATACGTTGCAGCGTTCAATATTTTTTCACTCGGATTCAGATTTTTTTTAGGAACTACAATGTTGACTACGGAATGCGACAAATCGTCACTGGACATTGCGTACAATACTCGGTGGTTTGCCGTGCTCGCACCACCGCCGCCGTCTTGACCACAGCCGACGGGCCATCTATAATGTATGTTACAGCCGTTACTGTTGTCGGGCATCATCACGTCCGTTCCGTTGATGACGGAAGACCGTCTGTCCGCCAGTTGACGATGATGGCCGTCGAGCAGCAGATTAGGAACGGGCGAATAATTGAGATTTCTATAGTTCAATAATTCATTGTTGTGGTGGGCGGTCGGCGACGGACCGTCGGCAGTGTTGTGCAACTCCGACGAGTTGTCGTACGTGCCGGTTTGGCTGTTGCCCAAAGCCACGTAATCGTACAACGTCTTGCTGGTCACGGGCGAAGCGATTGGTACGGCGGCGTAGCCGTTTGTCAACAACCGATTGTCGCCATGACTGTTATCGAATCGCTGCACTTTGGTGGAATACACGTACTCGTCGGCGGCCGAATGCGGCGTGGCCCGTTTGCGCCTGTTCTCAAACTGATCCGAACTGCCGCCGCCGTTGTTGACCGCGGTACCGTAATACACTTGTTGTTGGGGGCTCCTCTTGTCGTCGCCCAAGAAGTAACTCTGGGGCGAATGCAGTGGCATTTCCGACCGACTCCTCAACGGCATCGAAACGATTTCCATCGATTCCGGATACAGTTGCTCCGACGTTTTCACGGTGGGCCATTCGGCGGGACCGAGTTGTTTGAAATTGTTAAACATCGGTTTCAGACATGTCGACATCGATATGCTGTTCGGGCAATTGACAATGTCCTCGGAATCGACGTTTGGTATTTGGATGTCCATCGAGTTGTCGCTGAAGTCGTCGCACATCTCGACCATGCTGATTTTCTCGTTACTGTAATGCAGGTTAATCGTGTTTATGCTGCTCAGGGTGGAGGAAATCGTGTTCGTATCGTTCAGCGATTGCGCCAGGAGTTTCGTCGACGAGACGGCGGCGGCGGTAGGCGAACTGCCGGATTTCGCCGACAACGATCGATGCAGTTCGTAAGCCGCCGAAGCGGACGAGCAGTTACGAATGGACATCTTGTCGTCGACGTCGTACAGCAGTCTTCGGTCGTCCATTTGTTGTTGTTGGCCGAAAGAACACGAATTCGACGATAACATGGGCATGCTTTTTACTTGCACGGGTTTCTGCTGCAGCGTTGCCTGCGCCTCGTTGTTGCGGCCACCGACTGTACCGTGATGATGATCCACGTCGGCTTTCATTAAATTACTTACGCTGATCTGAGGCTTACCCATCGTCGTCGTATCGTTACTACTACGATTGTTTTGCGCGTGGATAATCGGTAAATCCGATATCGACGGGCCCTTGTTCATGGCTATGTCGGTGGAGTTTATGGAAACGGGCGACAACACGTTGACCACTTCCAAGTCTTGTGTGTTCGAGTTGATTTCGTTTTCGCCGTGTTCAATGCCACGGGTGGCTTCCTGCTGGTGCATTGGCATTGCGTGGGCGTACTTTCCGATTGCCTTGACGGGCGACCTCCTGGTCGAGTTCATTTCCGCCGAACTGCTCCTCAGAGACAAACGGCTGCTGTCTTTAGGACTCTTGGGTTCGATGTCCGAACTCGGCGTTTCTATTTCGATTTGATCCGGGCTGTCGATAACGTGCTGGGATTCGGAAGAGTCAGCGTCCTCTTGATTGCAGTCCCATTCGTTGGACAGCACTTCGCTGGCTTGACTATTGGAATTGACCGTTTCTAAATTGTCAATGTTTTTCTCGATAATCTCCAGATGGCTGTGGTTGTCGTCCGTCGAACTGTTCGAGTCGTTTTCGTTGGACAAGTCGACGAACGCCGCCGACGCCGCTATTCGTCGTTCGTCCGCCAGTCGTCTCGCGGCGGATTTACTACCGGAGAAGTCAGAGCTAACAACCGCATTATTAACAACGTTCTGCGCGTTTTTAGATTGGTCACCACATATTGAATCATTACTAGAACCACCGCCGCCGCCGCCGACGCTTTTGGCGTTCCCTTGTTTCGTCGAGCTCTGACTAACGGAAGCGGCGGTACAACAGCTGTTGTTATTATATTGGGAACGGGACTTTGATTCAATACTATCGTCTTCTAAAAAAGAAATTTTTGGCAACTTTGGGTTAGAAGGGGAATGAGAATTGCGTCTCTTTTTTCCTCTTCTCGATTCCGTGTCGTTAACTACAGCGTATGTAAATGGAATTCTATTAACAATTACCGTTGCTAGTTCAATTTCTTCCACTTTTTTCGTTTCGCTGTACGGTCCGAACATTATGCATTTCAGATTGTCTTTGAACGTGTCGTCGTCGGTCGACTGTTCGTTTGACATTTCACCGTTGTTCGATTCGTCGTTTCCGGTCGATTCCGGTTCGTCTTGGGGCTCGAAGTTATACTTGATTTTCCTCAACAAGCTATTCCAGGAACCGGTGACGGGTATCAACGGCTTTAAATGTTCATCAAAGTCATTACTCTGCAACACACGGCGAAAATTCATTTAGCTATGCAATATAATATAATAGTGCAGCAAAACACCGTCTTAAGAACATTTGAAAAAAAAACAAAACAAATTATAAAGGTATAGAGGAGGCAAAGGGTTGTCAGGAGATGAACTATTGCTATAGTATTGTATGACAATACTACTTCTCGGTGTGGTTCCTTTTGACATAGAAACAACGATCTCCCTCGTCAGATCCTAAACTCATTTGATTGTCAACAGTCTTATTCTTCGACAAGTAATAAAAAAGCTCGTCTGACGAAGAAGTATTTATTTAATTACTCTGAAACACTATGGAAATTGAAAACGGTTATTTTCCAGCTCGGTCCAACTCGCACAGAAAACAATGAGAATCTGCACGTTGGAACGCACTAATCAATCCAATCGAGTTGTTAATGCAATAAGAAATCAGAAAACGGATTCGAATTCTTCATATTTTTTTTTATATACATTTTGCACTTAAAATCGAACCCCGTTATTAATTTAAGTAGTGTTGGGTAAAATTTAACTTGATAAATAATGGACAATCTGTTTATATTTTGTAATATATTGAAAACATATTATCACCTGAATCAATTTAAAATTTATTTTTTAAATAAATAAAAATTCATTTAAACATATATATTTTGTTTACCTCAAATTATTAAAAATTGTATTGGTTATTTATAAATGTATGTATTTAAAACCAAAAATAAATAACAAATAACAGAATAATTTTGTTATAACTAATTGAACAAAATGTGATTAATTAAAAAATAATTTTACAATACACTTTAATTAAAATCAAATGGAGACGGTCAACATCTCTAGATCAGAAGATCCTAAGAAGCATTCGAATGCGTTTTCAGTTTCAGCGATAAGCATCATTACATCGGAAAGTAAATAACCGTTTTCAAATCTCGTTAATAACGATAATTTTTTTTAAAAATATTAACCATAAACAACATTTGATTCTTACCCATTTTTGAATAACATTTTCACTTTTATCAAATATTTCCGACATTGCAGGACATCTTTGTTTACAACGCTTGATAATCGATTTCATCGTATTTGAATTAGTTTCTTTTTTAACGTCCAATATATCCTAAACATACACCAACGATTTTAGTAATTAAAAAAGTACACACATCAATTCACAAATCAACCGTGTATTTTTTAATTTTATTAACGCGTTTGGTTGGACCACATCGAATGTTTCTTTGATGGCGCACAAAAAAAACTAAGAACATATTTTCTATTTTTTTTATTATAAAAACATTATCAAAGGGGCGAAAATCTAATTAAAAAAATAACCACTAATTGAAATGTTATTGTAAGTCCTAATAATAAAAATTAGTTTCATCTCTAATTTGAGTTATTTCCAAAAATGTATAACGCCTTAAGGCGTTCGGCGTAGCAAAATGAGCGTGACATCCTCAGAACTCGTTGTTTTTATTTTTTTAAACCGACAGTATTTTAATAGTAAAAAAAAAAAAATTATTAGCAAGCAATTGATTTGAAGTAATAATGCTAATCCGTTTTAATGTATTAATGTAAAAGATTTTAATTGCCTACAACAAATATCGTACCACATCATACAAAAATCCAACCATAATGGTGTGTTAATACAGTTTCGATTCTTATAAAAAAAATACCTTACCTTAAAACATTCTTTAAGTGATAAATTTGCATTGAACAATACAGTAGAAATATTTTGCCGATCTCTTTCGGACATATCGTTAGTGCCGTTTTGCGACATGGTCAATTTCGGCCAATTGGGCCATTTAAATTTTTGGTACAACTTCATAAAGTCAGAAGGAGGATGAATTTTTCTCAAAAGTTTTCGTAAATCGTCTTGTTCTCTCCTTTTGTCACCGTCTTTCAAAGTAACACAAATGATTTTTTTCCAAAGCTTGCAACACAAAATTAATCGCAAGTAGGTGAAAAATTCTATTTTTGAAGGAATGGGTTGATATAAGATTTTTCTGAAATAATAAAAATAATTTATCAATAATTATTATCATTATATTAAATTAATAAAAACAATAATTTTTATTCTAATTATGCATACTTGAGAAGTGTACGATTGATCAAACTGAAATATTTAGAATTTTAATTTATCAATAAATAACTCTCTCATAATAACTTAATTTCAACTTTGTGTTTTGTAAAAGAAAAAATTAAATAAAACAAATTAATCAGAAGAAGATAACTTATAAGTATTTTAAATGTCTATTGCCAAAAATCATTGTCGGCAATAAAAAGACAAAAATCAACTTTTAAATAAATAAATAAATTTCCATTTCTTTTAATAACATTTACTTTTTCCATTTATATATAAATTTAACCATACTTTTTTGTGTTTCAATGTGATTATCGATACTAAAATGTTTTCAACAGATTACCGATGAAATAACATTCAAAACTTGTATCGATAAAAACAATGTTTAAATTTTATTAATATTAGTATTTGATCAATCGAAAATGCTTTCACGAATAACTCATTAATTATTCCGTTACATTGTAAAACTCACTTTAACATTACACGCGTAATGTATCCGTACTGAGAAGTACCATAAAAAATATAATATGATTGAAATATAGAATCAATCGTGAAATCGATTGAGGCGTTACCTAAAAATCAAAACATCAATTAGGATAAGGTAACATTTGACTTATTTATAGCGGCATCAGAGTCAAAACTGAAATAACTCCAAATTATAAACCATTTGAACAACTAGTTCTTTAAGTAAAATTTTAAAACAAATTGGTGGCTCGAATAAAATATATTCTCAAATCAAATTTACAAGCCACGACACATTTTTAAATTGAACTTGAATTAGTCGATTGGATATTTTGATTTAATATAATTCAATTTGTTTTTTCAAAATTTAATTTGTTTACAGTTTTTTACTCGATGTGCTTCCTAATTTATCTCATACCAACAAATAACTTACTCAAATATAAACTAAGGCTTGCAATGATTTTATTGGATATTTTTTTCTCAATTCCGTTGTAACGTCTGTAACAAATAAAATAGTTGTTAATGTTGAACATTTTTGTGTAAAAATAATAATAATTAAGCACGTAAATGCATAAGAAATACGATAAAAATTGATGGCCATAGCAGCCGCAGCTTGTTGGAATTCAGTTTTGATGTGATCACATATATAGATAATTATATCTTTAAGACATTTAATAAAAAAAATTGAAATTAACACATTTAGGATATTTTATTTTATTTTTACTATGTATTTATGAAATACATATTTTTTTATAAAACATTAGGTCAAAACACATATCTGTTTAACAATTAATAATATGTTATTATAAGTAGGTACGATTTGTCAATAAAAAGAAAACAATATCTATAACCTATCTATTCTGAAGTCTATTTATATAAATTGGTTTTCTTTTTTAATTTTTTTTTAGCAAAATTAGGTAATAACTTACTGAGAAGACATTAATTCCAAATCGATATAATAAGCCAATAACGATGCCATTTTTTCAAGGTATATAGTATCCGATAAATCCTAAAACAAAATTAAAAATAATTAAACACATGTTTTAAACGTAACCATACCTTAGTAGTATAGGTATATACAAACAATGATACTGGATAATTATATCTTTGTATTGTTATAGATAATTCAGTTTATATATAAAATATTTAATAACAATTTTTCAGGTTTACTGTAATTTGTAGCTTAGTTTTTCGATTTTTAGATAAATGTTTTTAGTTATTTTCTGAATTTATTTATTTAGTTATTTAACTGAATCACCCTTTACATAACATATACAAGTAATAATGTTTTTAAAAAAAAATTAAATTGCTTAAATACTTACTTGTCTTAAATGACCATAATATGTCCGAAAAAATAATAAAGACTGAGAAAGATAGGTTTTAACTAAATTAGATTTGTTGACTTTATTTCTGCAATCGATAACTTCTGGCAACAGTTTACTGTGAACACAAGGAAATATATATGTAAAATTATTATTAAAAAAAAAATAATTATAATAATCGTAAAACGTTGTTTATTCGAAATTAAAAAAAATGTTCTATGGTTTCCTTGACCTTTTTTTTTTTATTAATGTCAATTGATAATAAATATAAATAACCTTTTTTGTTTATGCAAATCGTAAATATAAGGAACACGAGAGTTGTGAATTTTAATTGGTCTAAATTGGAAAAACAGTGAATTTAGTAATTGGGATCGACAAGAAACATACTTAATGCTCGTCAAATAAAAGTTAAATTCATTTTAAGACAATTAAAATCTGAGTAGGGAATAATTTTATGAACACAAAAAGTTCAATTATACAACATTAAATATGTTACTTACTCTTGAAAAAAAATAAGTAAACCGTTGACAATGTCTTTATTTATCTTAGCAGTTAGATCTCGACACAGTAACCGGAAGCCGGCTAACCATTTGATGAAAGACAATTCTGTTAATGTTTCTTGACAATCGATATATTTTGGCAATTTTTCCAAATTGCACATATTTTCCTCTAAGTGCGTACTTTCAGTTGGGTCATCTAAAAAAACACGACACACTGTTACACAATATATAATATACTACAAATTACATCATGCTATAAAATTCTTGAAAATATTTTAACCCTTTCGCCACAGGGATGGCAACGATATATATAGGGATACTACCTCATCGATACATCGAAGCTTTTGATACTCTAATGCAATATATACCACCGATATTTAAACACTGAGGAAAATGTCTTTGGTTCACTAAAACTTAGTAAGTTTTTAACTGTGTTTGTTTTTTTTTTTTTTGTAATTTATAATTTTCAAGAATTTGTTGCTACCAAGAGAAAACTATAGATGTATAAGTTTTCTCTTGATTTTGTTACAAGTCACAATGGATTATTTTATATTTAATGTAATTCGTTAATGATAAAATATTATATATTTTTTTTTCTTTATACCTAAAGGTTTTCAATTTTGTTTATTTAATAACAATAGGCATAAGCAGAAGCTTTAAATGGTGGTGCCAGTATAGTAATATAATATATAACTTATACAATTATGAACAAATATTTTTTATACTAATATATCAGTTAAATGGCTGTTGATACATTGATAACCTTGATAACGATATATCGATAGCGTTAAATTTTTTGCTATCATTACTTTTCGGTCACAAATTGTTTTGGTGTAGCGATTTATGGTCTTAATAATATAAGAAAACTGTTGTTATATTTTTATGGAAAATATCGATACGTAACATTGTTCTACATTATTTTTGGCGATAACAAAATTAAAAAAAAAAAATAATTTGTCCTACCCATAGAATGCAATGACTGACAAATTTTTAAAAGCAAGTTATGACACTATATTTCTAAAAGTTTTTACATAAATTCCAAATCAAACAGTGCCTTGCAGTGATCATCAGTGTTTCTTAGTAGTTTATTTAAAAATCAATTAAAGAAAACAAAATAATTAGTGTAATACATTTTTTAGCGCTTAATCGAAGCTTTGTTTTTCAAATGAAGCAAAATAACGGCTATTTAATGTTTACTTATAACTTAAAAGGAAAAAATTAATACAAATTTTTAAACAAATATACTTAAAATGAACAGATAAATTTGACAATTTGGTAGCGAATAATCATTTACACAATTTTGTGTACCTAAGACCTGTGACTTATACTCAAAATATTGAGCGGTTACAGTAAGAGCCTAACGGCAAAGTTACAAACACAAATAACTATGTAAAATGTTTTTAAACTTACTATCATAAATATAAAAAATTTAATTCATTATCCGTCTAAAATTAAACATTTATTTTTCAAATAAAAAATATACATTTCAGTATTATAATTCTGATATTTACTTTGTTTTAAATGTTCTGTTAACCAACAAGTACCTTTCATCTTATTGAATTATTAGTATTTTTTTTTTTATTCATTATTTCGTTTTGATCATAGTTATTTGTTTTATAATGTTATTTGTAGTAGTCTGCTAAAAATTACAATGAATTTTGAGCTTTTCTGAAGGCAAATAAAAAGTTTTCCCCTAAAGAATGCAATTGCCTTTATTAACCTTTTTTTTCCGCAATTGAGTACATTTATCTCAGTTTAAGAAGCAAGTCCAACATCTAAACTCCTCAAAAAGTTCTAAAAAACTGCACCAACAAATCAACGCAGCATTATCGTTCAATATTGTTTTCTTTTGTTGCCCATAATATGTGGTATATAATGTTTTAAATTTTCAACGGAATTCAAATTAAATGTTGACTATGAGGCTGAAACTCCTTATCACTTTAAATGAGTATCACCAACCAAAATGACCAAATAGACCAGCAGCGTCAGAAACGTCCATGGACGTTAAGAGACAACATCTCTTTCTCACAATTCATTCATCTTTTTCTATTCCATTCGGTGTGCCATTTGTTAATTTTTAGACTGTCTTTTCTATGAACTAATAAGTACTATGTGTATGTTGTTGCTTAATATTTCTTTTGCTACAGTGTCGGCTCTTATATTTCCCATTACACTAAGGTAGCCCGGGATCCATCCATGTTAACTTGATATGTTTGTTGCTCTTGTTCAGAAAGTTTATAGTTGTTGAAGCTTGAGTGGGGTATCGTACTTACATATCTTGCGGTTACTCACACTTGAATAGATTGACTAGACTACCTACATTTTGGAATACTTGCACATTCCATCTTCAGGACTGTGGTTTGATGTTGCTCATACCATGGTCTACAGGAAACCACTAAAAATGATTTCCTTAAAGTTGTTTTCATTTTATAACTGTTCAGTTGGCTCAAATTTAACACTACACAACTTTGTATGTCTTCAATGGTTTGGAATTTTATTTTTACTTTCTAAAGAGAGTTATCATAGACTTTCAATCTGTACTGACTCAATAATAAATACCATTGAAAAACCTGAAGCGGACAATCGCAAACCTCAGTAAAATCAATACCAAATACAACAAAAACTGCAAACTGAAAAAAAAAAAGAATGCCCAAGTATTTAGAGCAGATTTCTGGACATGAAAATAGCCACCTACCTTCAACTTTGTGTCGAGGCACGCTACAAAAAATATTCACTATAAGAGTACACCAAAAGTTAACTTAAAATATTTAACCTTTAAATTTTTGTCCTAAAAAAAAAAATTGATAAAAAAAAACCAGTCAAGGTTAACTCGAGTTGACATTTTATTTTTAAAAATACGTTTTGCTTTTACAATCAAACGGAAAACAGTTTTATGCGACCAATTTCAATTTAAAAAATATTGACTTGCACCATTTTATCTTTGAAAAGCTTATTTACACATATCTGACTAACATTTGGACATAACAGTCCGAACCTATAAAACTGCTGGCTGCTGGCAAGCAGCCCTGAAAAATATTCCACACACCTGGCGCCAGAACATCCTGCCAACAAAACCAAAAAAAAATTCATTCTGCAAAGAGACAAACCCATACTACTATCAAACCGATTGTAAACAGAAATTTTGAAGACGGGCAGTTTTTTTCAACAAATGAACCGTACAATTCTCGCTCCATATTTATTCAACTGAAATTTACTGTTTAATAGTTGAAAACAAAAAAATAATTTTTATACTGCAGTATTTTCTCACATGTGTATTTCATGTTTACTTAACAATAAGATGTATCAGCAACAGATATTGTTTTTTAAACAAAGGTTATTATGTTACTACCGACTATGACTAATGTGCAAACAACCTTTGAGCTATATTCCAAAGTAACATAATCGAAAAAAAAACAAAATATTGGACAAATTAGATACCTATTAAATTTTACAATGTACATTGTCCAAAGTAACATATTACATGACCGTAAAGAGAAACTGCTAAAAATAGATAGGAAAAACAATAAGAGTATATTATTATTTAAGACCAACTACAAACGAGATAACACAAAGATTACAATACTTCTTTACTCACCAAACATGACAGACAACAACAATGTAAAATATTTACAAATATAAAGAATACATAATACTACTTCAGATATTACATTTCAATAGCGTCGACTATGACCAAACCCAATACTCAAAATGAAATGAATTTGACTCGATAAGCTTATCTACAAAAACCACAACGTATATACTTTATGTAAACATATACACCACTTATGAAAAGCCAATGATCTAAAGTGTCAAAGAATAATTATTAATTGATTAGTAATATACTTTATTACAGACTAAATGATTTTACCGAAACGAAAAAACTGTTTGATATGCTCTTCATTAGTAAGTACCGATCATTATGATTGATTGAGGCGAAAGTGTTGGCGAGCAACATTGCTGCTCCAAATGGTCATAAATACCGTACCATAATGATATATTTTTAATAATAACGAAGTAAAACTATTAATTAGGGAATGCTCTTTGTGGCCGAGGACTTGTGTGATGATGAAAAAAAAAACCGTAACTCATTTTTTTAGGTACTGAAATATCACGTTACAACAATGTAAATTTGTAAGTAAATTTACAAGAATACAATTACTAACTCAACTTTTAAAAAGAGAATATTATAAAAAAAATTTAATTTAATTAAATAATTTTACCTGTAGAAATATTAAATTAAAAGCGAGGCATGGCAAAGTAAAGGGAACACGGTAAAGGTCGCTAAAGATCTCAAAAAGTATTCAATTATTTAAACTACGGGAATTGTTTACCATTTCTTTTAACAAAGATCAACTTATCAAAGAGAGCTGATGTTATAAGGTTAATAGGAAAGGCTGTTTGCACTTAAGAATGAAGTAGAGTTCATCCTAATGTTTCAGTATTGTTAAGCTACCTTCAAAATGTTTAGCAAAGTTGGCGCAGCAAACAATCATTAATCGCTCAACGCTGTCGAAAACTGCACTTTTAACATTAGTAGCTTGTTGTTCAATTATTAATTTTATTGTTATTATTATAATGAAAAGGTATTGTTCAATGAAATAGATAACCAGTGAAGTAAAGGAAAGAGCACAGCGAGGTCATATCGTTTCATAGAATAATCTCAATGGAAAACCATTAAAACCACTCAGGAAAACGTTTCAACACAATTCTATAGAAGGTAAAAAACAGAATAAAACATAGGTAAAAATATTCATTATTATTAATTTATTAGAGTTATGACAGCAGAGGTCATTAGCCAACAATCACATTAGGTCAAATTTTAAGTTAATATATATTGTAAAATACTTTAGTTATTAGTTTATCATAGTTGTCTGCAGTTAATGTGTTAACACTATTTTTTTTTTTAGGTATATTTAATTAAATAAAAATATACTTAAGTAAAATATAATCTAAATGTTAGAAAAACAGACGATAAAAAAAAAACCATTCCTAATACAACAACTGCGAAAAAAAATGTATACCTAATCAAAACAATTTGAAATTAACTGATTTATAGAAATTCTAATTCGTTTCCTTCTCCTTATACCATACAAAAGAGCGTCAAACCAGCTAAACCAGTATCTCTCTTCATAAATTTCTATCTTTTGTCATTTTATTATTCATTCCAACACACACCTTCATGTTTTAACATATCACATCCACCCACTTCTTGTTTACTTAAACTTCTAAATCCCTCTACCGTGATTTTTCTAACTTGTCTTACTATTTCACTTTCCTCTCTTTTTCTAACAACGCTTCCAACATCTCAATCTGTTTTCTTTTCTCAGTTACCTTTATTCTCTGTTAGGTTAGATCCCAATAGGCAATACAATACAAACGGTTCAGATATCTGTTGACTGTTGATTCATTCACACATAGCAACCTAGAAATTAGCAAAGGTCTAAATGTAGAGTTCCTTTCTTTTTTTGGGGCTGTTTTTTCTAAATAAAAAAAAAATGGACAGATTTTTAATGAAATTGTATATTAAAGCCCTATTCGGTGTAATTTTCATTTCTTGTGTCCTAAAACTTAGCTCGAAAAAGAGAAATCATAGGTCAGATCACAAAAAAAAACACACCATTGTAAAAACAATACTTTTTCATCTATGCATTAAAGCTAAAATGCAACTTGAACCTCAATAAAAAAAAAACGTTCACATGTTTTAATAAACAAAAACCTAAATTTTGTACGAGAAAAAACTTTATACAAATTATAATAAAACCACACACAAGTTGTGTGTTGTAAAACACAAGTGTTTTATTAAATTCTTATGGGCAACAACAATATATACCTAAACTTACGATTGCAAATAGTAATGAAATAGTTTCACTGAACATTGGATAAGCTTAACATGATGTACACGCTACAATATGTGTTTCCCTTATACGTTTATTATTTTATTATACTTACCCCCCTCAGCTAAGCACATTATCTAAAACAGGCAACGTAGCAGTCGTATGAATTTGAACTGTGTATGTCTCAACAAATGTGACCACGCCACACAGGCTGCCATAAAGTTTAGATAACAATATGTTAAACTAAAGACCTATTAACACAATATCCATTTTAAGACTTATGTAAAAATATTATAATGTCTAATTAATTTTTATTTCCTTCATTATAATAATCGTAATTACTTTTTTCTTATTTTTTTTTTTATATATTGACGGCAGAAAGTTAAATTAACCTAACCAAATAAAATAATTTACGTCTTTGCTCATGTTATATGTTGATACTAACCCCGTAACAAACAACTACATTAATCCGTAAGAGGTTACTGGATTATTAGGTTATAAAAAACGTATAGATAAAACAAATGCAAGGCTTTGAACCAAAAAACACTCTAAAAGCAACCTAAACAACGTAGATTTTGAAAACAAAACCCAGCGTAATAGGGTCGAGGCATAATTATTATAACTGAACATAATTAAATCACCTTCGACTAATAATTCATGTGAAACTGTCAATTGTAAAAGAGTATCATAAATAAATCACTTTATTGACAAAAAATGTATTTATAATTTTTTAGGTTTCCTCAATAAAAAATCATGAATTTTTTTTTTAAAATGTTTTTTTGAGAATATTACAACGTATTGAATATTTAGGATGGACGATTAGAACTCGTAATACATCTGAGAATTATTTATTATGATAAAAAAAATGTACATAATTAAAATCTAAATCCTAGTAATAAACTAGATTCATCAACTGTCTTTCTTAATAACTCCTTCCCATTGTTACCATTAGGCACTATAGTAATAAACAATATTATATCAAAAATATTTTTTAAATACATTTTTGTCGATTTGTTCACACGTAGCAACTGGAAATTGAAAGCCAAATAAAAGGAAAGTATTTAGTATTTAAAAAAAAAAACCTTTTAAGATCTGCATTAAAGCTAAAATATTCCCATATGGACACATAGAGAGAAAGTGAAATAGCAATTTTTAATTGTATAAAAAAGATCTAATTTCAAAATAATCAAAGAAAGGCAAATAGTGTAATAAAATCAAAACAGTGACACATTAACCCGTAGCTGGTACAGTAATAAGAAACCTCATAAGATGTACATTGATAAGCGGTGTATGATAGAATACAAAAAATTCAACATTGAAATGCCTATCTACTGGAATTTAAAACATGATACATAACAATAATCCCCACCAACCGAAAAGAAAAAATCTACAAGATTTACTGATAAGTACAAAATACAAAATATGTGAACATAAATAATCAGGAATTTTATTAAATTAAACGTGGATGATGTAAAAAATGTTATAATTAAAAGAACAAATACAAAATTATTAATGTCGCGATGAAAGTAAGTCATCAGTAGCGGAAAATAAACCTAAGACCAGTGATTTTATAATAGTCAGTTAGTCCAATCCGTAGGAATTTCAAAGAACCTGATTATTGTTTAGTTTCAACTGTAGCGCAAAGCACACCATAGAGGTGTATAGGAAGCTTAAATCATGCCGTCACCATAAACCAGTACTGGTAGTGCGTTACATGAAAGGGACAACGACAATAATATTATTGCTTTGATTTTGATTTTAACTATTAATGAACTCCATGGAAAAAATTAACTAATAGTTGAACTTTTTTATAATAAAACCATTGATACTTAAGTGACAAAACAAATTGACAAAAGTGAAATCTTCTTACTATATAATAATATTGAACTAAAAATTAAAATAACTAGTACAATTACTACTAACTTTTAATACAAAAAAAACAACAAACTTATTATTAGAACTTTTTTAATAGCAAAACCATTTACATAAAGGAAAAAAATAAAACATGATAATTAAAAACAACTTTGGACGATCAAGCTAACAAACACCTATAGTCAAATAAATGATCCGTAAACTTTAAAAATTCTGCAGTACCTCCTCGAAGAAGTATTACTTTTAAGATGTTATTGTTCTCTTCCAAATAGATGTATCAATAGAGTAACTAAATAATTATTTCTAACGCTTGTATATAAATGAGAAGTATCAAAAGAAAATGAATTTTTTGTCGTTGTTGAAAAAAATAATAAATTTTTATCTAAAACATTTTTAAGTCCTTAAGCTGATTGAGCCCAGGAAGTCACAAACTAAAACTGTTGAACACAATCTCAAATAACTTTTTAAAGGTCG